AATGCACCGCTAACCAATCTCTTCCAGTACAGATACAACACGGGCAGCTACCCGGCAATATGAAAACTTTGCCCAAGTATGTTCTGTACGTAAAAAGTAGGACAAATCCAACATGGTCAATTACTGCCCCATCAGTCTACTCTCGACCATCAGTAAAGAGATGGCAGGTGTCAGTGACCGTGCTACCAAGCAGCTCCTGCTCAGTAATAACCTGCTCAGTGATGCCCAGTTTGGGTTCCACCAGGACCACTCAGCTCCTGACCTCATTACTGCCTTGGTTCAAACATGGACAAAAAAATTGAATTCCAGAGATGAGGTGAGAATGACTTCACTTGACATTGAGGTGCATTTAACCAAGTGTGGCATCAAGGAGCCCCAGCAAAATTGGAGTCAATGAGTATTGGAGGAAAGCTCTTGACTAGTTGTAGTCATTCCTGGCATATAGGAAGACAGTTGCGATTGTTGGAGATCAACTATCTCAGCTCCAAGACACCTCCTAGTGTTCCACAGTGTAGTGTCCTCGGCATAACCAGCTTCAGCTGCTTCATCAATGACCTTCCCTCGATTATCAGATCAGAGTAGAAATGTTTGCAAATGATACCACAATGCTCAACACAATTCATGACACCTCAGATACTGAAGCACTTCACATTCAGACCCAAGAAGATCTGGATAATACCTAGGCTTCGTTTGATAGGTGACAAGTAACATTCAGGCCACACAAGTGCCTAGTAGTGACCATCTCAATAAGTGAGATCTAATCATTGCCCTTGATGTTTTTTATTCATTCATGGGAAGTGGGCATCACTGGCTGGCCAGCATTTATTGCCCATCCCTAGTTAACCTTGAGAAGGTGGTGGTGAGCTACCTTCTTGAACCACTACATGCTGTGGGTAGACCCACAATGCCATGAGGGAGTTTGTCCCAGGATTTTGACCCAACAACAGTGAAGGAATGGCAATATATTTCCAAGTCAGTATGGTGAGAAGCTTGGAGGGGAACTTGTAGGTTGTGATGTTCACATGCATCTGCTCCCCTTGTCCTTCTAGATGGAAGTGGTCATGGGTTTGTAAGGTGCTGTCTATGGATCTCACCATCAGTGACTTTTTTTCCCTATACATTATTGGGGTGTAGTCATTGCTGGCTTGGCAATTTATTGCCCATCTCAAGTAGTGTCAACTTATGTATGCATTATTTTTGCTGATGCTGATTACCTCTGTAGTATTTGCCATATTTCCTGTCTTCTTCTGTTTATTTCCACGAATGTTACCTCATCTGAAATCCATGAACTCAACGCTTACCAGAAGTCGATAGTGGGAGTTTTGGCCCCAACCTGCGAGCAATACTGTGTGAAGCTGAACTGAGATGGGGCAAAAACATTTGATAACTTTGAACTTCAACCACTTTGAAACTTACACTTTGAAATTCAGCAGTGAGCAAACGGAAAGTCCAGATGAGTACTTAATCCATGGTTAACATTTCACAGTATTTTAAAATGAATACATTTAGGTGCACTAAGACCAACACTTTGCAAAATATGTTATCATGTGCTCAAATAATCAATATCCAATAACGGCAGGAATGAACATAAATAATGACATGCGACCAAAGAATCACAAATTTTTTATGGGGCAGAAGGAGGCCATTCAGCCCATTGTGCCTATACCAGTGCTATTATGTCGTACCAAATTCCTGCTTTTTCCCTATATCCCCACGAACCATCACAACCTGTAACACAAAGTGCAATAAACACTTGCACTGCTTTTAACCACTGATATCTCAACAACATAAGATTATTGATATTATAAATTAATACTTTGCATTCTGCATTTTTAGCATAATGATATGAAAATGTAAATAAGAAATGTGAATGGGTATATTATGATGCATGTAGGAAAAATCAAGGCAAGTGTTAAGTCAATGCAACATACTGGCACGCAGTCATAAGAAATCACAGGGAAAAACTTGCTCTGTTGATTATACGTTAGCAACATCATAAACTCAGCAGAAAACTTTTTGACCATTATTTTTGGAACCTTAAGTGTGTCAATTTTGAATGTATTTATGAGCTCACTAGCCACTTGACAATATTCAACTAGAAATTTTATATCAAGTTCATGTTGTCACAAACACATAACAAGCAGACTGTCCTGCAGTCCCCCAGAATTAATCTTCCAAATTCTTTTTTCATTCATTTATGGGATGTGGGCATTGATAGCTGGTCAACATTTATTGCCTGTCCCTAGCTTCCCTTGAGAAGGCGGTGGTGAGATGCCTTCTTGACCCACAACAGGTGGACTGCAGTAGTTCAAGAAGACAGCTCACCACCACCTTCTCAAGGGCAATTAGGAATGGATAATAAGTGCTGACCAGCCAGTGATGTCCACATCCCGCAAATGAATACAATAAAAGAATTTAGAAGGTCAGTTTTTAATTATAGCATGGCAATGCATCTGGTTATTCTCAACAGCAGTTGATGGCAAGGGGAATATAGCTTTTCTCTTTAGAACGACGAAGGGTGAGAGGTGACTTGATAGAGGTGTACAAAATGATCAGAGGTACAGATAGAGTGGACAGCTAGAGACTTTTTCCTAGGGTGGAGGTAGCTATTACAAGGGGGCATAGCTTTAAAGTGAGTGGAGGTAGATCTAGGGGAGACGTCAGAGGTGGGTTCTTTACTCAGGGAGTGGTCGGGGTGTGGAATGCATTGCTGGAGAGGGTAGTGGAGTCAGCCTCATTAGGGGCATTTAGCGGCTATTAGACAGGCATATGGATGATAGTATATGGTAGGGGTGGAGTTAGATAGACCTTAGGATTAGGGTAAAAGTTCGGCACAACATCGTGAGCCGAAGAGCCTGCACTGTGCTGTAAGAAAACAACAATCTCAAACCCAAATGAACAAAATTGAATATTCAGCAGCAGGACACTGCATGGGTCAGGGAAAGCGAATCCATGAGTGTATTTTGAAAATTAGGGTATGGACATTAAAGCGAGGCAATAGAGATGGAGTAGGGTTAAACAGGTGTTCTCCAGCTTTGACTTTGGGAGTACCCAGCAAAAAATTAGACCTGTCATGCAAGGAAGTAACAAAGGTGTGGCAGAAGTATTGTTGAGGTAGGGACACAGTTGGGAATGCATTGAAAGTAAATGTAACTGGTATTCATTTGTGAAAGGAGGTGAAAATTTTTGATACCTGATGCATAAGGTTTTAAGATGCAATATATGAGTAACATGATGAGACGTAACCTGCTATAACCCTCCAAAGTCTGCACTGCCCCAGTTCTGCGCATCCCAATTTGTATTTCCCCACCACTGGCAACTGTACCTTTGGCTCCTGCTTCCTGAAACTCTGGAACTCTCGACCTGCATCTCTAACTCTCTCCATTTTTTTTTTGCAACATGCCTTAAAAACTATAATTTGATCATCTGCCTTAATATCTTTTTATTGGGCTCAGTGTCAAATGTTGTCTGATAACGTTTCTGTGTGGCACTTCACGACATTAATATTGTCTTTAAATGTAAGTTGCTGTCAAGTGCAGCATGTTTTCATCTTTTTAAATCAACTTGTTCAGGAATACCATTATAGACCTCTGGAGCAGGTGGGACATGAACCTGGGCCTTCTGAATCAGAGGTATGGACACTACCACTGTGCTGCAAGAGGCAGTGGTGCAGCATGTTTTGGAGGAGCAGGTCATTTAGGGCATATTTTGAATCAACCTGCCCATGTGTGTTTTGACGTATCTCTGGAGCAGGTGGGACTTGAACCCAGGATGCCTAACTCAGAGGTAGGGACTCTATTACTGTGCCAGAAAAGGCTTCAGGGAAGCATGACTTAGAAGAGCAGGTCATTATAGATCTACGGTGCCTAAATATTTCCACTAGTAAAGGTTTCCACTCCATATGTCCGGATCTGTTGTCTAGTAATTGATAGAAAAGGATTGCAGTTCCATGATTGCTACATATGTGACTGCCCATATGTCAAAGGCAAAGTGAATAGGTCTTGGCTGTTTTTCTATCCAACACTTTAAGAAGCGTTGCATTTTATGTGAACTCATGTTCAGACAGTTACTGTAAGTCATAATAACCATTCTTTGCCAAGCTACAACATGATAATTTTGATCTCTTTAACAGCTGCTCAGCTGAGCATGAACCTAAATCAGGATCAGCGTGTAATTCAATCAGTAAGAAATTCAAGTCAGGTTTGGGTGAAAAATTAAAATTGTTTTGCAGAACAAAGTTCAAGTTAAGAGTAGCTACAAAATGGAAATCAGAATTAGTGTGAAATTCAAATCTGGATTTCCCATAAAATTCAAATCCATCTTCAAAATAAATTTCATGGAAAATCAATATGCCCAAATAATATGGAAATGGTTAGGTTTGTGCTGTGTGCACCCTTGCCTCTGAATAGAAGACTTGCACATTACTGCATTTTGTCAACTAAGTTGAAGTTTCTGCTTGGAAACTTTAGGTCTATATGATCCAGAACGACAATGTACTTACCTACTGAGTCAATAGGGAAGCTATGAATATTATTGACTTTTCTTTGTACGTACATGTTTATTTGCTTTTGGATCTCTCTGATTACAATAACAGTTCAAACAGTTATCACTTGGCTACACACAGTTCTGCTTATTTTGATTTTACTTGCTGCACAGCATTGTTTTTGCCCCATTGCCAGAAATGAAGTTATCTTGTAATTTTTGTTGAATATAATGAAAATTAGAAACTATAAATTGATTCATGAGCCCAATTACAAAATAACAAAAATCCTTTTTGTTTACTTTGCCAACTGTTAAGTGCCTCTTTAAACAGAAATTATCCAACACGATTTCTGTTCTGTGTTATTGTGGAAAAATATTCTTCAAAGCAACTTTTAAAACAAAAACATTCAAATTAATAATATTTAATATATCAAAATGTCGACTATTTATTTAATTGCAGACCATTTATTTTTAATATGAAGATAAATGTTTTACTTTTTTTATTTATTCATAGGATATGGGCATCACTAGGAAAACCAGCATTTTGCCATCTTTAATTGCCGTGGACTAGGTGATAGTCAGCCATCTTCTTGGCTAATGATGTCTTGCTAAGCCATTTCGAAGGACAGTTAGGAGTCAGTCACACTGCTGTGAATCTGGGTTCAGGTAAGATTTCCTTCCCAAAAAGACATGAATGAACAAGTTGAGTTGTTATAACAGAGTAGCAGTTACATGGTCATGATTAAAGATGTTATCTTTTCATTTCAGATTTATTTAATTAACAGAATTTAAATCCCCCAGCTGACATGGTGAGATTCAACTTAAATATCTGGATCATTTGGATTACAATTCCAGTAACAAAACCACCATGCCACCAGGTCTAATACATACATGTCCAATACACTAATTCCCCTCAAGAGGCTAAAGGATCAACTGCAGTTATGTGCAGAGGTGTGCTTTATGGGAGTAAGGAAGGTTTTTGCATGGTACTTGTACCAGATATTTTGTATTCCTTCTCCCTACAACTGAAGTCAAGACAATATCCATCTATTTGTTTCATTAAAATCCAAAACCCCAAACAAATGCAAAATACAGTGGATGCTGGAGATCTGAAGTAAGGTGCAATAAAAACTCAAAAGGTCTGGCTACATTTGTGGAAATAAGAAACAAATTAACATTTTGCATGCAATTCAGCACTTCTTAGAACTGACAAAAGATGGATGGAAAAGTGATGGATTTTATGCTGTAGTCAAGGATGGGGAGGAGCCAGAAGCAAAGATTTAGGAAAGGTGGCACTGAATGAAAAGCAAAGGGAATGGCAATTGTTGTAGGAAAGAGAGCTAGCTCCAAAGTAGCTGCTCATAGTAAGTGACAATAGCAGAAAATAAGTCATCTTTGCTGAAAACGAAACCAAGAAAACATGGCATCGAGTGGGGGGAATCAAAATGAAGGATAAAGTTCCTGGTCTGAAGTTATTGAACTCAGTGTTGACTCTAGGAGCCTGTAAAAAGAAAGAACTGAAAAACAGGTACTGTTCCTCCAGCCTGCGTTGGGCTTCACTGAAACACTGCAACAAGCCTAAGACAGAAATTAGAGCATGACAGTCAAATACTATATTCAAATGGAAAAGAACTGGAGTTGTGGGTCATGTCTGTGCTCCGAATGAATGGGTGACATAAACCAGTCACCCAGTCAGGGTTTTGATTCCTCGGTGTAGAGCAGACTGCATTGTGAGCTGCAGTAAGAAACAAGTTTGAAGGAAGTACAAATAAATTGCTGGTTTACCTGGAAGGAGTATTTACAATATTGGACAGTGTGGATGGAGGAGATAGAATAGCAGGTGTTATACCTCTCGTGACCATATGGGAAGGTACCATGGAATAGGGATAAAATGTTGGGTGTGATAGAGCAGTGGACTAGGGTATCACTGAGGTAATGGTCCCTTTGGAGTGCTGATAGGGAGGAGAGAAGAAGATGTGTTTCGTTGTTGTATCACGCTAGAGGCAACTAAAATAGGAAATCATGGTTTTTTGATTGTTAGGGAAGGAACGCGAGGACAAGGGAAAGCCTATCCTGGTCCTGGGAGGGAGGGGAAAGTTGAGGGCAGAAATGCAGGAAATGGGTTGAACAGAACTGAGGGCCCCATTGAGTTGAATGGGGGTGGAGGAGGTAGGTTTGAAATTATAGTTGAGCATTTCAGAAGCACTGTTGTGAAAGGTATCATTGGGGCAGCACGGTGGCTCAGTGGTTATCACTGCTGCCTCACAGTGCCAGGGACCCGGGCTCAATTCCAGCCTTGGGCGACTGTCTATATGGAATCTGCACATTCTCCCCGTGTCTGCGTGGGTTTCCTCTGGGTGCTCCGGTTTCCTCCCACAGTCCAAAGATGTGCAGGGTAGGTGGATTGGCCAGGCTAAATTGCCCATAGTGTTCAGGGATGTGTAGCTTAGGTGGGTTATAAGGGGGATGGGTCTGGGTGGGATGCTCCCAAGGGTCAGTGTGGACTTGTTGGGCCGCAGGGCCTGTTTCCACACTGTAGGGATTCTGTGTCTATGTACGTAGCATTGAAACATATGTAACAGAGATGGAGAAACTGGACAAATGGAACACATGAAGCAGGCCATGAAGAAGTGTAGTCGTGGGAGATGTGGGTTTGCAATGAATATCTTTTAGACAGGCTTTCCCCAGAAATGGAAACAGAGAAGTCAAGGAAAAGAAGGGAAACATCAGTGACCTGCCAGGTGAAGGTGTGAGAACATAAATGATTTATTTTTCTCTTTCTGTGCAAGAGGAGGAAGCAGCATTGATGATGACATCAATGTAAACATAAATGTGGGAGATGTTCCCATGCAGGGATTTTTTTTATCATTCATGGAACTGTGGGCACCGCTGGCACCACCAGCATTTAATTCTCAGAAGGCAGTTGAGAGTCAACCACTTTCCCCAAAGGACATTTGTGAACTAGACAGTTTTCTCCCCAGTGGTAAAGCCCTGAGGAGTGTTGCCAAACAAAGAGAACTAAGGGTGCAGATGCATTGTTCCTTGAAAGTGGAGTCCCAGGTAGACAAAGTGGTGAAGAAGGCATTTGGCATGCTTGCCTTCATTGTTCAGGGCATTGAGTACAGGAGTTGGGACATCATGTTGCGGCTGTACAGGACATTGGTGAAGCCACTTTTAGAGGACTGCATGCTATTCTGGTCATCCATCTATAGGAAGGATGCTTTTAAACTTGACAGGGTGCAGAAAAGATTTATAAGGATTTGCCAGGACTGGAGGGTTTGAGTTATAGGGAGAATCAGGATAGGCTGGGACTTTTTCACTGGATCATAGGAAGTTGAGGCATGTCTTTATAGAGATTTATAAAATCATGAGAGACATGGATAAGGAGTATAGCCAAGGTCTTTTCCCCAGTGTGAGGGAGTTCAAAACTAGGGGGCATAGGTTTAAAGTGAGAGGAGAAAGATTTAGAAGGCACCTGAGGGCAAATTGTTCACGCAGAGAGTGGTTCATATGTGGAATGAACTGTCAGAGGAAGTGATAGATGCAGGTATAGTTACAACATTTAAAAGACACTTAGACAGGTACACGGATAGGAAAGGTTTAGTGGAATAAGGGCTAAATGCAGGCAAGCAGGTCTAGTTTGGTTTGGCAAACTTTGTCAGTATGGACAAGTTACTGATAGGTCTTCTTAGCTCATGACCTTGACACAGTTTTAGCCAAACACAGACAAAAGAATTAAACTGTGCAGGAGGGGTGACAATGACTGCTTCTGACATCAAAGCAGCATTTGACCAAGTGAGGAATCATGGATCCAGGGCAAAATTAGAGTCAATGGAAATCATAGAGAAAACTCTTCACTGATTAAGATCATTCCTAGTACAAAGGAACATGGTTGTAGTTATCAGACACCAGTGATCTTAGTCCCCAAACAACACTGAAGGAGTTTCAAAGGGGAGTGTCCTTCCTTAGTCTAATCATCAAAAAAATGCCCCATCAATGCTGTTCCCACAACTATAAGGTCAGCAGTGTGGATTTTGTTGATGATTGCACAATGTTCAGCACCATTTGTAACTCCTCATATTCTAAGCCAGCCTTTGTCCTAATGCACCAAGACCTGGGCAACATCAGGCTTGGGCTGAAAAGTGACAAGTACCATTTATACTGAACAAGTAACAAACAATGATTATCTCCAACAAGAGAGCACTAACTATCTCTCCTTAATATTTAACGGCTTAACCATTGTTGAATGTCCTCTATCAACATTTTGGAGAATATCATCGACCAAGAGCTGAACTGAATCAGCCATATAAAACCTGCAGCCACAATAGAAGGTTAGAGGCTATGAATCATGCAACAAATAATTCACTTCCTGATTCCCCAAGCCTGTCTACCATCTACAAAGTACAAGTCAGCAGTGTGACAGAATGCTCTCAACTTGCCTGGATGAGTGCACCTCCACCACATTGTGCAATCATCAACAAAATCCACACTGCTGACCTTATAGTTGTGGGAACAGCATTGATGGGGCATTTTTTTGATGATTAGACTAAGGAAGGACACTCCCCTTTGAAACTCCTTCAGTGTTGTTTGGGGACTAAGATCACTGATGTCTGATAACTATAACCATGTTCCTTTGTACTAGGAATGATCTTAATCAGTGAAGAGTTTTCTCTATGATTTCCATTGACTCTAATTTTGCCCTGGATCCATGATTCCTCACTTGGTCAAATGCTGCTTTGATGTCAGAAACAGTCATTGTCACCCCTCCTGCACAGTTTAATTCTTTTGTCTGTGTTTGGCTAAAACTGTGTCAAGGTCATGAGCTAAGAAGACATATCAGTAACTTGTCCATACTGACAAAGTTTGCCAAACCAAACTAGACCTGCTTGCCTGCATTTAGCCCTTATTCCTCTAAACCTTTCCTATCCGTGTACCTGTCTAAGTGTCTTTTAAATGTTGTAACTATACCTTTTATAAATCTCTATAAAGCCAGGCCTGAACTTCCTATGATCCAGTGAAAAAGTCCCAGCCTATCCTGATTCTCCCTATAACTCAAACCCTCCAGTCCTGGCAAATCCTTATAAATCTTTTCTGCACCCTGTCAAGTTTAAAAGTTTAAAAGGCTTGATACTATCCAGAACAAAGCAATTTGCTTAATTGGTATCCCATCCACCACATTCAACATTCACTTTTACATCACTGACACACAGTGGCATTGGTATGTACCAGGTACAAAATATGCTAATGCAACTCACTAAAGCTCTTCCAACTTTATCTTTCAAACCTATCTCTAAAACTAGGAAAGCAGCAGATGCTTGGGAATACTGTCTCAGGCAAAGTTTCTTTCCAAGATACACATAATCCTGATCAGGACCTATTTGTCACTGTTACTTCACTGTCATTGGGTTAAAATCCTGGAACTCCCTTCCAAACAGTATTATGGGTTGTCCCTATACCCCAAGGACTGCAGCAATCCAGAATGGCACCTTACCAACCCTTCTCCAGGGTTATTAGGGATGGGCAATGAGTGCCAGTGAAACCCACACCTGAGAGATAATTTTATGAAAAGGTTCTATTATTCTAACTTCTTACCATAAATCTCAACAGATTCCAATCTTTCTTCAGTCCTCTGGGCTTTGGTCTTTTCACATCTTGGCGATATCCTATTTCTCTTTAATGAGCAATGATGTTGATGATGCAAGAGGAGTCTGAAGGGAAAATGATACAGTTAACAGAAACTCAGAATCCAATGAGAAGTATTGCTGAGGATCTGAAACAAGACTGCAGTCATCTATCTCTGCAGTCATTCTGTTTTTCTGCGCCCTCGTGTCTTGTTGGTTCACTATCTTTTGCTTGCAGTTTTTGTTTTATTTTCACATCTTGTACATCTACAGCTATATTTTGCAAATGATCCAATATATTAATCCCTACTGTATAGTTGTCCCTTCTTTACCCATATCTTCTATTTGTCCTATTTAATGACAATACCATTATCCAGATGAAACATGAATCCAAGGTCCCATTTTTCCTCTCAGTTAGGTTGAAAGCTGGAAAAGATTCAATGATATTATTTTGTAGATGAGCAGGGCACCCTCCCCCATGCCCTGGCTAACATTTACCCATCAATCACCATCAGCAAATCATAGAATCCCTACAGTGCAGAAATAGGCGATTTGGGCCATCAAGTCTGCTTCAACCTTCCAAAGAGCATCTCACTCTATGCCTATAACCTACATTTTCAATGGCTAATCCACCTAGCCTGTATAACCCTGTATGCCATAGGGCAGTTTAGCAAGGCCAATCCACCTAACCTGCACATCTTTAGATTGTGGGAAGAAACTGGAGCATCTGGAGGTAACCCACACAGACGCAGAGAGAACGTGTATACTCCACACAGTCACCCAATGCCGGAATCAAACCCATGTCCCTAGTGCTGTGATTCAGCAGTGCTAGCCACTGAGCCACCGTGACACCCGAAATAGATTATCGTGTAATTGTCACAGGACTGTTTGTGGAGGCTTGCTATGCACAAACTGGTTTCAAAATTTCCGCAGTACACTACATTATAAAGTACCTTGGGACATCCTGCATTTAGAAACATGTGACAGAAGTGCAGGGTTTTCCACCTTTCTTACAGCCTTCAATCAGATGATGATTTCACCCCATATACTATAACCTGTTAGTTTTTTGATTCTGAGTGCAATAATGCCCATTTCATGCTCTTTCATTTTCACAAGTCACGGTGAAACACAACATGAAATGTCCATTGCAACTGGGCGCAAGCTTGTATTAGTTCAAGTTTTGTATTTGGGTGAAAAGTCAATTTATTTGAAGTATTAATTTCAACCAAGTGAATGTTTAGAAAGCTTCCAGACTACTTTTAAATATGTCATATTAGTAAGTGAACTGATAGCTCCAGGTTAGCACCAGAACTAGACACAATACCAAAATTGTCGCTTAACCAGAGTTTTGTAAAGAATCAGCACAGCTTCCAGGTGTTTGTACTAGGTGTCACTGGTTATCAAGCCCAAGAACCCAATATACTTTAAATGTCTCTCTTTCTAGCCACCTACAATGGCCTGTGCACCAGTCCTCAGCTCTCTCTGTCCCTCTGCGTTCTTTTGAAATGAGGCAGCATCCATGGAGAGAAAACAAGCTAATGTTTCGAGTCCAGATGACTCGTCATCAGAGCTGAGTCATCTAGACTTGAAAGGTTAGCTTGCTTTCTCTCCATGGATCTTGCCTGTCCTGCTGTGATCTCCAGCATTTTGTTTTTGTTTTCAGTACAGATTCCAGCATCTGCAGTAGTTTGCTCCTGCATTGAGTGTAGGAGTTGGGACATCATATTGCTGCTTATACAAGACATTAGTGAGGCCACTTTTGGAATGCTGGGTTCAGTTCTGGTTGCATATCTATAGGAAGGATGTTGTTAAACTTGAAAGGGTTCAGAAAAGAATTACAAGGATGTTGTTAGAACTGGAGGGTTTGAGCTATAGGGAGAAGCTGAATAGGCTGGGAATTTTCTTTTCCCTGGAGTGTCAGAGGCTGGGGCTGAACTTATAGATGTTTATAAAATCATGGATAGGGTGAATAGCCAAAGTCTTTTTCCGAGGGTGGGTGAGTCCAAATGCAAATTTACGAAACAAATGCGAATCTTTTGCTCTTAGTCAATAATAATGCTCCATTTAAAAATATGAAAACTTCAGTTTCCCTGTGATCTCGAAGTCAGTTCCAGCACACAGCAATCCCAATGAACGAGTGGGTAATGAAATGAAAGAATCTGGGTTGGTTGAGTATTGCCGCTTGTTTCCTCGAAAGATCATTCGCAATTAAATCATTTCATTACTTACTGCAGAGAGAAAAATTTAAATTAAGGTGATAAAAGAAAACAAAGAACTGCGGATTGCTGGAAATCCGAATCAAAAAAGGGAAAGTGCTGAAGAAACTTAGCAGATATGGCAGCATTAGTGCAACATCAGCATGGCACAGTGGTTAGCACTACTGCCACACAGTGCCAAGGACCTGGGCTTGATTCCAGCTTCAGGTGACCTGTGTGCAGTTTGGTCGTTCTCCCCGTGTCTGTGTGGGTTTCCTCCGGGTGCTTCGGTTTCCTCCCACAGTCCAAAGATGTACGGGTTGGGTAGATTGGCCATGTTAAATTGTCCATAGTGTTCAAGCTTGCGGAGGCTAGGTGAATTAACCATGGGAAATGCAGCGTTAGGGGGGTGGGTGTTGGCGGACAGCATTTTGGAGGATGGTGTGGATTAGATGGACCGAACTGCCTGCTTCCGCACTGTAGGGATTCTATGATTCTATCCGAGGAGAGAGAAACGGAATTAATGTTCCGAGTCCAGTGAAGAGTTTTCCGTCTCCCCAGATGCTGCCAGGCCAGCTAAATTCCTCCAGCACTTTCTGTTTTTGATTTGAATTAAGGCTACTGTCTTGGTTTTGCATTCGATTTGAAGTGCAAATGCTGATTTGTCATCTCGCTACAGTTCGGGATGGGAATGACTGGCGCTCTATAAATTCACTCGCTCAGTCAGTTGGATAGCGCCTACGGTTTTATTAATCCAGCTCGACTCTTTCAATCTCCCGCCAGCATCCGCAGCCAGACCTCAGGCTCACAGAGAGAAAAAAAACATAGCGTGAGCCAAAGGCGTTACTAGACTTTATTTCAGCGTACTGAACCTTTTTTAAAGTCATAGGAGCGCACTTAAAGAGATGCTCCCACCTGGAGAAGGGAGAAAAGAAGATCCCAGCCCCGTCCGTTTACTTCACTCTTTGTTTCAAAGCTCTGTAAAACGTATTCAGCAGCAATTTTCGATTTCTGAGAAGATTTATTCAAGTTATGATCCGCGAACTGTAATTTGGTTGACAGCGTTTTCGCAAAGTCTGTTCGCAAAATCCGACTATTTCGTAATCAGTGCAGAGAAGTATTTTCAAAATGGTGTATTTACTTCCATAGACACGAACGCATAGATGGATAGATAGATAGATAACATTGTTTGTTTAATATTTTGTCCGTCTAATCAGCCTAGGAATTTTACTGCACAATATTAACCTGTGTCCCTCAGTTTCGATCTGTGAGGCTGCTCCCTACTGGAAGCGTAAGGACATGGAAATCATGCTTATGATTTAATACGATCTGAAATATTGCATGGGATTGTTACAATTTCATTCTTCACGGGATGTGGGCTTCGCTGGCAAGGCTAGCATTTAACGTCCCGCCCTTAATGCTACATTATGAAAGTGATGCATACAAAACAAACATCACTCTCAATTAACTTGTGTGTGTGTTTTTTCCCCTACATGAAAATAGAAATTGTTAGCAATAACAGAAGCTATTGCCACCTTAAAACTTTGTCTGCTACGTACACAATGTGATTATGTAAATACAGCTCCTGGACGCTGCACTTGTCTCATTTAACACGGAAAGTACAAATCCCTGCCTATCACACGGGTTAAGGCGCACAAGTGCTGTTTATTACAATAATTAGCCAGGAGCGCGAATATTGTTTACATTTTTCGAAGCTTTTTTTTTGGAAAGTTGGAGCGACTCACAGCCGGAAACTGTTCATTCTTCACAGACTGTAAATGAAAGGTGTGATCTTAGGTGATTGCCCGAGGAGTGAGCAGAAAGAGGCAGTGGGGCGGTGTGGGGAGGAGAGCAGGAGTAATTTGTACCACTATTGGTAATGACTGTCCGGGTGTTCCGCTGCACTCCTGACTCCGCCAGCGCTGACAACATTTGGGTACCAAGATGATCAATCTTTAGATTTAATCCTGTGGCAGCGTGCGAACAAGACTATCCAGATAAGTGGGGATTCACTGCAACCCCTCCAATGTACGTCAACTGGGATCATTCGGATTGGGAAGCGGTCAGGAGCCTACAATGAGGTGTTAACTCCAACTCAGGGATTTGGGGTCAGTAACAGCAGTACCATTAGCGCCCCTAACTAACTCAAGCACAGGAAAGGGGAAGAAGAACTGAAATTGAGAGCTCTCCAACTAGTCTCTCGGATACATCAGGATTGAATAAAGTGACCATAGTCCCTACCGACTGCTCTCTCTCATTAGCGGTTTAACCTGAGGGTCACCACACCTCAAGCGAGAGGTTGAGAATGAGAACCCTTCGTGGTAACCTCAGCCGGTAGTGGGGAATTGAACTCTTGAACTATGAGCCTCACAGAGCGGCCATGGTGCTTACTGAGTGACGATAACCTCCGGGAAATAGAGCGGGCTATTAAAGTGACACTGTACTTTCAGCGGCTCAACGCCAGCTCTGAGTGTGCTGATGAGAAAACGGCGACCCGAGCACTTATTCCCCACGGGGTTCATTGTCCCTTCCGCCCCAAATCCCCGGTGGGATCCAGCCTTGGAAAAGATCCTGGAGATTTACGATCAGTTCATGACGGGCAGGATGTGCTGCCAGCTGGAAATCCACACTAGAGAAAGCAGCGGACCCCGGACTCATTTCCCAATATTTTGACGCCACGGCCCCCAGTGACGCTACGATTTAGTGACTAACACCAGGATACGGCTGTGGGATGTTGTTGTTGTGGGGGGGGGGGGGAGAAGGGGCGGTCTCACTGACTTTAAGACGCAGCGGTGACGGATCTATTGCAGCCGACCCCGTTTTGAGAATTCGCTATAAATTCATTGTTGGACGGTCTCACATCTTAGATCTCCTCTACGGGGAAAGGGGGAGGGGGGCGCGGTTGACAAAAGAACTTTGTTCCCCTGAAAAATAAATATTTTAACGCGTCTGACAATACAGAGCTTGGAAGTTTAGGAGAGTTTCATTATTTTTTTCTCTCTCTCTTTCTTGCATGCTTTTTTTTTGTACAATCCTTATTTTGAAACCTGGTGTGTTTGTTTTGTTTGTTTTTTTTTAATTTTCTCTCCTGTGCTGTCATTGTAAACATGGTGCTGTTTACTTTCCTGACTGTCTGCAGCCTGTTGCAAACGATGGTGCAGTGTTTTGCACTTCAGGAGTCTGACCTACCTGAGCCGGGTCAACTCCAGCTCTCTCCCCTGCACCGGGGGTGGCAGACGAGGAAGGGGACGGTGCAGAAGGTCGACCGCATTTACGCCGGGGATGGCAAGGTCGGCTACTTGGTGTACGCGGACGGCGAGAGGTTCCTGCTCGATTTGGAAAGGGACGAGACGCTCGGCTCCCCTGCCCCGGGAAGCCCAGCTCTGTCCCCTCTGGGTCAGGCTCCGAGCCCCCGCTGCCTGTACCGGGGCACGGTCAACTCCGAGCCGGAGTCGTTAGCCGCCTTCAACCTCTGCGGGGCTCTGCGAGGCTTATTCGCGGTCGGCCGCTCCCGTTACACCGTCAGCCCTCTCTCCGGCTCCGGGAGCACGGGGCTCCTTCCTTTCGGTGGCGCCGCGGACCAAGTGCCGCACCTCTTCACCCGGGACCGTTTCAGTTTCCAGAGCCCGTCTGCAGAAGCCAGCCGCTGTGAGATCCGGAGCCCCGCCGGTCAGCCCGCTGCCCGGATCCCACAGACCCGGAGCTCCGGCCGCTCCAGGCGCTCGGTGTCCCGACTCCGGCACGTCGAGCTGCTGCTGGTGGCTGACCAATCCATGTCTCACAAGTACGGCGACAAGGTCCGCCACTACCTGCTCACACTGGCCTCCATCGCCTCCAAACTGTTCGGCCACGCCAGCATCGAGAACCCGGTCCGCCTGGCCGTAGTCAGGATCATAGTCCTCACCGGGAACGACCAAGGGCCGGTGATCAGCAAGAACGCGGCGAGCACCCTCCACAACTTCTGCAGGTGGCAACACAAGCAGAACCAAGTGGACCCGGACCATGCAGAACACTATGATGCTGCTATCCTCTTCACCCGGGAGGTAAGTCAGTTCAACTCACACACACATACACATAGACTTAAAGATGAAACAGATGGATAGACATAGAGATGAGATGGATAAGCAGATAGATAGATCAATGAGGTAGATAGGCAAACAGATGTATCAATAGATAGATAGGGATAAAGATGAGATAGATAGATAGATGGATGGATAGATAGAACGATGAGATGGGCAGACAGATATATCAATAGATGGATATGAAGATGATAGGTTGGCACAGTGAGGCCACACCTGGAATATTGTGTGCAGTTTTGGTCTCCATTTCTGAGGAAGGATGCTCTTGCTCTGGGGATGGAGAGCAGCGAAAGTTTTCCAGGCTGAATCTGGGGATGGTGGGACTGACACATGAGGAGAGATTGACTTGGTTGGGCTTGATTCCGCTGGGGTTCAGACGAATGAGGGGGAATCTCATAGAGACTTACAAAATTGTAACAGGACTGGACAGGGTAAATGCAGGGAGGATGTTCCTGATGGTGGGTGTGTCCAGATCCAGGGGTCACAGTATGAGGATTCAGGGTAGACAATTTTGGACGGAGATGAGGAGATATTTCTTCACCCAGAGAGTGGTGTGCCTGTGGAATTCGTTACCAAAACATTGAATATATTCAATAGGTGACTAGATATAGCACTTGGGGCGAATGGGATCAGAGGTTATGGGGAGAAAGCAGGATTAGGCTTATTGAGTTGGACAATCAGCCATGATGGTGATGAATAGCAGAGCAGGCTTGACGGGCCGAATGGCCTCCCAGGCTGTTATTTTCTATGTTTCTATGAGACTGTGGTGTGATCCAGCGTGGCCATGATGAATTTTAGCCCAAAGAGCAGCGTTAGCCGCTGCCGGTCCAACCTGATGATGTGTAAGCCATCATCTCAAAGGTAGTGCTGATCCCTGGGAAGAACGAGATGCTACAAATTATTTGCCTTTGAATTTGAAAAGTGCAGCTAAAATGTACGAATTGCATCTTGGGTGTTGTGTTCTTCTACTGAATCGTCATGTTGTAATTGATTCAGAGGGTTAGCGGCCGCTAGCAGTATCCCCTTGGCCTGGAAGGGGTGGTCAGGTCGAGTTCGCGATGTTTGGAATTGTTCACGCTTTCTGCGGTGGATGTGCTTCCCTCACTTTTGCAGGAGGAATGAAAATGAAGTCAGCCCTCACCAATAACCATCCAGTAAAATGTTTATCAACATACAACGCTGTGGCTTCCAAGCTAGGAGCATGTGCTTGCTAAATCTAATCCTCCAGAAAAATTGTCTGCCAAGTTCGGCTGAGGACTTGTCACAGGCTTGTGACGCCTGTTTGACTGTATTTTACTGAGACAAGTAAGATTTTTCGTCCTGTGTAAATGAAAATAGGTTTGCCTAACATTTATTTTTACAACCTAAAAAAGGCAGTGCCACTTTAAGTAATCCTTATGCTAATTCCAAAGCCTTTGGACCAGCCCCCAGCGAACACTTCGGGGTTGTTTTTATTCGTGGGAACTTCAGAAGCTGGAGTTTGCAAGTTCAATAAAACCCCGATAGAACTGCGGAAGCTGGAAATCAGTTCAAGTTCAATTGCAAGTTCAATATCGAGAGGAACACTTGCGAATACAAACTTTCCTCTTTACCATCACTCCTTCTGTAACCATACAACCGCAGAAAGCTTGTGGAGTTTAATTTTAGACTTGAAGAGAAAGTTTCACGAGCTAAAGGCATAGCGATTGGACAAGAGAGGGGGAGGGGGAAGATAGCCCAAACCCAATTATTTTGACACGGGATTTTCCCCCTTTTTCAGGTCATTGCTACAAATCCAGGAATTGTCTAAACCCTGCTATCCCCCTTTATACAGACAGTGTGTTTTTTCTTAACATCAGTTAACCGTAGCTGGACAGTTTATTTTTCAACTGGCTTATTGACGCCTATTTAAAACTGACTTGGAATCGTAGTTTCGATGCACGGGAAGTTATATTTAAGATGATCTTACAAATCTGGTATTTTTCCCTCCTATGATTATGGTTTGGTGACTGGATTTGTAACGCCATTGAAATTGGGCAGCCTTCCAAGCTTCCAGCTTTGCTTTCTTAGGTAGTTTTCAGGATCAGCGGAACCAACAGGCGTTTACATATAGTCGTTCAGGACTGGAAAATGCCTGACCTAAAGAGTCCTGTGCTAGTGTTTTTTTTGTTCCTTTCAATCTTACCACCTTTCCTGGTTATTGCGAGATGCTGTTGGTACCATTTTCCAATTGCAACTCAAGTCAGGAAAGTGTATGTTCCAGGCTATTCAGTGACAGTGGTCAGCTGACTCACTAAACCCTGGTGGCTGTTTTTCTTTAAACATTCGTGGGATGCGGGCACTGCCGGCTAGTCCAGCATTTATTGCCCATCCCTAATTGCCCAGAGGGCCGTTAAGAGTCAACCACATTGCTGTGGGTCTGGAGTCATGTGTAGGCCAGGCCAGGTAAAGGATGGCATTTTCCTTCCCTAAATGACATTAGTGAACCAGATGGGTTCTGCCAACAATCCACAATGGTCATCATTAGACTCTTAATTCAAGATTCAAACTCCACCATCTACCATGGCAGGAGTTGAACCCAGGTCACCAGATGTTGCCAGGTATGGAAGGTTTGAGTTATGAAGAAAGGCTGGATAGGCTGGGGTTTTTTTTCACTGGAGCATAGGAGGTTGAGAGGCAACCTGAAAGAAGTTTTTAAAATAATGAGAGGTAAAGATAGAGTTAATGGTAGTTGTGTTTTCCCTAGGCTGGGGAATTTCAATACTGGGGGCACATTTTTAACGTGAGGGGGAGAGATTTAACAAAGACATGAAGGGGAACTTTTTTACACAGAGGGTGTACTGTGGAATGAACTTCCTGAGGAAGTGGTAGATGTGGGTTCAATTGCAACGGTGCAAAGACATTTGGATAAGTACATGAATAGGAAAGGCTTGGAGTGATATGGGCCAGGAACAGGCAGGTGGGACTAGTTTATCTTGGGATTATGTTCGGCACAGACTGGTGGGACCAAAGGGTCTGTTTCGGTGCTGTACAACTTTATGACTCTATTACTTGGGTTTACTGGATTAGTAATTTAGTAATCATACCATTGAGCCATTACCCCTTTTCACTGTGACTTATTGGACACAGTCATCAAAAGAGGGCATTAATAGGTCTCCTTTTCCAAGCTTTGTGCACTGAACCCAATTGCCAACCAGAATAAGATCAATTATAAGACCATAAGACATAGGAGCAGAAATTAGGCCATTCAGCCCATCGAGTCTGCTCTGCCATTCAATCATGGCTGATAAGTTTCTCAACCCCATTCTCCTGCTTTCTCCCTGTAACCCTTGATCCCCTTGACAATCAAGAACCTATCTATCTCTGTCTTTAATATACCCAATGACCTGGCCTCCACAGCCTTCTGTGGCAGTGAGTTCCATAGATTCACCACTCTCTGGCTGAAGACATTTCTCCTTATCTCCATTCTAAAAGGTCTTCCCTTTACTCTAAGGCTGTGCCCTCAGGTCCTAGTCTCTCCTACCAATGGAAACATCTTCCCAACATCCACTCTGTCCAGGCCATTCAGTATTCTGTAAGTTTCAATTAGATCCCCCCCATCCTTCTAAACTCAATCAAGTATAGACTCAGAGCCCTCCAACGTTCCTTATATGTTAAGTTTTTCATTCCTGGGACCATTCCAATGAACCTCCTCTGAACCCACTCCAGGGCCAGTACATTTTTCCTGAGATGTGGGACCCAAAACTACGCACAATACTCCAAATGTGGCCTGACCAGAGCATTATAGAGCCTCAGAAGTACATCCCTGCTTTTATATTCAAATCCTCTCAAAATAAATGCCAAAGTTGCATTTGCCTTCCTAACTACTGACACAATCTGCAAGTTTACCTTGAGAGAATCCTGGACTAGAACTCTCAAGTCTCTTTGCACTTCAGACTTCTGAATTACTGGAAGATGGTTACCTCAGTTGGCTAGATATTATAGGAGAGTGTGGTTCAGAATACCATCAATAGTGTGGCTTAAATTTGTGCTTTGCTTGAGTTGGACTTGAGGCCTGTCTCTTACTCTGCTCCTGAGGCCACCACTGACCAAACTGTCCTTCAGGAAGGAACATCAGCAGAGAATGAGCCAAAGACCTGGCTTCCGGGCTGAATGTGTGGTATCACATTGGCGTAAGATTTGTTATCTTAGTAGGGAGCAGCAATCAAGATTGGGACCTTTCTGTCGCTTAGCAACCAATGAGTAGATGCTTATTGAAGCTTAGCTAGTCTCATTTGCTCCTTTGGAGTATTTGTTCTCAGTCTGTAACCGCTAGAACTGGAGAAAAGTTCCAATTTTGAATAGCCATAGATTTTCACATACTAATTCTTCATCTGAGAAAATGTTGAAAAAAGCACAAACAGAAAGAAATGATTAGCTCATAAAAGGACCACATATATGAAATCTTGAAAATGTGAATTGGGAGGCTTTTCCAGGTCGGCTCGAACAGACAGGATACACAACATACCTTGTCACTTGGTAGGAAATCATGCTATCACTTCTTGGGTGCAACTTCACCCACAGCTATTAGGTGGGGAAGCAATAGCCTATTGGTGATATTGCTGGGCTATTACTCTAGAGACCCAGATTGTGTTCTGGAGACCTAGGTTCAAATCCTACAATGGCATTTGGATTCAATAAAATCTGGAATGAAGAATCTGGTGACCCATGCCAATTGCTCACTAATCCAGACCCAGTGTACCAATGCAGTTGATTGCTATCTGCCTCATGGGGCAATAAATGCCAGTCACATCCTGTGTGTCTATCTATCTGCTTTTCTATGTGACTAGCTTGTATGAACTTCCTTGCTCCCTCAAGCTACAGCAGTGCTTTATGTTCTTTTCCTCCCTACAACAACTGCATTGAAATTACAATTCATTGAGTATCCTAACCTTGTTTTACCAGAACTATTAACATAGCTCTTATTATGCATGGTATCGGGTGGC